AATCTTAGTCAGTGAAGTTCCTTGTTCGTCCCCAGTAGAAGTTAGAGTGCTTTCGAACCCGAAGGTCTCATCCTCCAACACTATATCTCTATTATAGTGTACATGTACAGTACATGTGCAATAAATAGTTTCTGTATCAATCTACATTATTTCCATGATATTTTTAGAAAAATAATATCCAAGTAGTTTTTGCACACAAAATATTCAAAAAACAATAAACGCATTAATGCAAAAATCAGTTTTACGAGCAACCTTCATTTTTCAATTCCGCAATGACAATCGTGGAATGTAATGAAATCGTATAATGAAACATAATAATAAAATCATTTTATTATTAATTATTTTTCTTATTGTACTTAAGAAAATATTAAATAATAAAAAAATACGGTATTTTTAAAGTTAAAATAAGATTAAACTAACGAATACCAAAACCAAAGTTATGTAAAGATACTACGCGCTTGTATATCGATGACGTAATAATACACGTAACTGAGGAGCGAACGAAAATAACCAAGTTGAATTAAATCGGAAAAAAGAAAATGTGCATTATAATCGAGAAAATGCGACTATTGTATTAATCTTTAAAATATTGGTATTAAATCTGTCTTATAAAATCACGACGACTCCTGTAAATCGAGTTACAGTATCCGATAAGAATAAAATACAATACCAATATAGCCCTATCGTTGAAAAAATTCGCTTATTTTTGCTCATTTCGAGTTTTGCTTAGTAGAAAGGCTAAAAAGTGCGCAAAATACGTACGGAAATACAGGACCACTTGTATTGGACGACCACCTGTCTAAAAGACCACTTTTTGAAGGAACCGTGGGTGGTCGCCATAGACAGGTTTTACTGTATTTACATATAGCTGTTAATTTATCTGTTCAAAAGAATGCATATAAATATATTTATATATTTAAATTTTGAATGTGTTCTGGTAAACATGTTAAAAATTGGGGATTGAACTACATTTGAAAAATGTGAAAAGTCATATTTTTTTTATATATATAAACACTTATGAAATTTATTATCTGGACAGGTACCTGGAAAAAATGGCCTGAGGAGAATACTGGTTAAGCCATTGGCTTTTGCCATAGAACCTGTAATGAGAGCAGTGCTGAGAAAACAATGCTTTTACATCTTTCTTAAAACTCATAAAACTTGATTTAGAAAGGAAAACTGCATGTGAATACCTTATTGTTTTTCTAGCATGTTATTACTTAACAAGACTTAATGAAATTGATTATTTAAATAATTTCTCAATATAAAAAAAATCATGAAATTCAATTTTAAACTCATGATACATTTAATTGAGGAAATGTGGTATTTGAACGATGACTGGGTTATTCTATAAATTTTACGTAATATTGAATACTTAACACTTTCCTGTTTGTACAACTGTTAATTTACAATATTATTTTTTATCAACAAAACATTGCTTTAATGGAGGAAAAAATTATAGTCTAAGTGTTTTTGAACATTGAATGTTCAAGGGCACTTGTTCAATGTTCAAAAATGACATTGTTTTTCATCTGTTAAAGTAACTTTTGTAATTATTTGCATTGAAGTGGATATTTAAGGAATCAACTTACTTTTGATTAAATATTAATTTTTGAGGCCTTTCATCTCATCATAAGTTCAAACACAAGAGTTTTGATATTTTAAATATCAATATAATTTTTTTAATAATAAAATAATAAAGCATTGCTGAATCTGCTTGTGAATAAGCAATTCTGTTGAGTTAGGCATATTCCTGAATTGTATTACTTTTTTCTATTTACTGTTAGAGATGAATTTCACACAGTACTTAGTTTACTATTACTATCATTATCAATTATGACATCTAATTTTGTCAAGAGAAAGGGGAAAATTTTTTTGTAGTCACTTGTGTATTTTTTTTTATCCCTGTTACATTATAGAGGAAATTGCATGCATTTTATTAAAACAAAATATGGAAATATAACAATCATAAGATAAATCTTCAGTTTAAAAAATCAATTGTAATGGGAAAATTTTTTTTTTATATTGAAAATTTTTGTGCCATTATATAGTAGTAATATTTCTGAGCAATTCATTAAATTTTCAAAATTGTTTTGTACAGTATTTTCACTAATCTTAAATGTAAGTCAAATACAAATTACAATCTATTATATTAATGTTTGTTATATTTCTCTCAAAAAGGGATAAAGGTTTAAAAATTCTAGCTTTTTTTTGTTTAATTTTATTCTAAAATTGTTAATGAAATTATGATTGCAATGACAAGTTGTTTGTCTATCTAACAATGGAAGTAGCTGATTTACAGTACAGAGTTGGAATTTTTCTTATTGGTTTAATAATATGGATATTTTAATAAAGTTAACCACAATATGATTTGTTGTGCACAGCAATTCAAAAAGGACTTTACAACTTTGAAAGCATATAGCATTTTAATCAGACTTACAGAACTGGTTGAGGCATTACTTTTTAGCAAACCACATCAAGTTACATCTTAATCATTTTGGTTTGATGTGAATACCATTGGTGATACAGCAGACCAAATTCAATTTATTGACAAACTTGAAACAGCATCCAAAGACTTACAAGCTAAACATTCAGTTTTCAGAGACCTGTTTTTTGGAAACACTTGAGAAGTGGCTCCTATTATTTGGACAAGGAGTTGTGAACACGTCCTGAACACAAATCAAGTTTCGTTCAAATCAGAGACCAGAATGTTTGGCCCTCTCCTTGTCGATGAATTTTGCAGACAAAGGTGGAATAAACACTAGATCTTTAATGAAACCCCAAAAGAAAAATTGAATGGTCAAATCAAATCTAGGAAATGAATTGACCATGCTGTTGGCCTTGTTTGACCAATCCATTGACCCGAGAGATGTTTATTGAGAAAATCATGGACATTTATTTGATAGTGGGGTGGTGTGTGTGTGCTCTTTCTGAAAGGGCATGCATCCTTTGTAGTTGTTGTTTAACTATTAAATGAGAGAATTTTCCAGCATACCCAGATAAATGATAATCAATAATACCTTCATGAAAAAAAAGAGGCCATACATTATCTTTGCTCAGAGCACAAAAATATTCATCTTTAGAATTTTGCGAACATGTTTTACAGGTGCTCCTTGATTTTCAAAGTTTCCTGTAAATCCTGTTGTAGGTTGTCATTTTACCACTGAGAAGAAATGTTAACTCATCACTGAAGATGTTTTTTAGGAGTGTTGTCTTTTTCAATCCAATGCAATATTTCTATACTAAATTATCAATTATTACATCATCACAATGCCAGGTTGCAAGTTTTAATCATATTTTTGATTTATTTAATTTAAAATATATTCTCTCCACTTCAAATTAGTAGTGGCTTGCCCCTGTAAATCATACTTTTACTGTTGGCAATAGAGTTGTGCTGGTCATCTATCTAACACCTTTCGGGGAAAAAGTTTTGAATTGAAATAACATGACTTCTGGTTTGCATTGGACATTTGTATATAGTTAATTGGGGCCTCCTGCCCCTAAGGTTAGATAGATGAAAGACGAGACCAGATGGTCTCGTCTTTCATCTATCAAATTGCAGCCCAATGAAACAAACTTGGTGTGTTTTCTGTGAATTAACACCTCAACTGATTCTATAAGTCTTCTGATTAAAATTGTATACACTTTCAATAAAAAAAGCTTATAAATTTTTTTTATTTCTTTGGTTATATCATTATAATTTTTTTTATTATATCAGGGATGCACAACCTTTTGTGAAGAAGGGCCAAATTAAGATTAAGTTTACTGACTAGGGGCCAGACCTCCAAGCAATTAATGCGATGGCTGAGATTGGATGCTGGCGGCAATCTTCTTTATGTCTGGTGTAATGGCAGATGTTGAAACAACCAGCAGATTTTCCAAATTCTCATTGGTTAACCTGTTCCGTGTTTTGCACTTGTTTAAATTCATAAGCGAAAACTTGCAAGCTTGTTTGGCAGTACCTATGTATGCTTGTTCACATACATAGGTACTGCCAAACATGCTTGCACAAAATCAAGCATTGTCTTTCAGTTTTGGAAATGATGTATCTGGCAGTTCTTTGTAGAATGTGAGGAGATTAGAATTTTTGAACTGTGATTTCAATTCATCACTGCACTGGATGTCTATCAACTCAAGT